TGTTTAATTAAAAAAAATATTTTTTTAACCATGAAGTAATGAATGAAAGACAATTTGGAGTGTTGATAGATGATTATTTTATCTTTTTTAGACAAGAAATAAGCATTGAAAAGTTTATTTTTATTGCAAGCTGAATTTTTTTTATCATTTACATTGTTAAATAAGTGCAAATATTATAAAACACATGATAGGTACTTCAAAATAGTGTGATGAAATAAATGTTGGTGCGAAAAAGTGTAAAACTAATGTTTTCTGCTCAAAAAATTATTGTAAATTATGCTAAAATTCGGAGATTTTAAAGTTCATTTTGAAGTTTCTATTAAAAACATTTATGTGGTTTATAAAATTGTTTTTTTCTTTAAAATCGTCCGTAAAGAAGTACTTTTCCGGACTTATCATCTGTGAGGTGTGCATATGTGTAATGTTGGTTGTATAATAATCCAAATAAAGCAGAAAAGTTTTTACTGATATTTTTATTTTTATGTAGTTTTTTTTTCTACTCAAACAAATTATTAAGTAGGTAGCAAGCTGCTGAAATTTAAAATTATTTTGAAATTTATAGTGAAAAAAACATTTATTTTAACAATATAAATTGTTTTTTTAATCGTCAATAATGAAGCATTTTTTTATCAAATTGCAAAATGTCCGATATTTTGAAATTCTGATATTTCTTAACTAAAAGTGAAATTTCACAATATTAATAGGATTTGAGCCGATTTATTTTTTTATTTAATTGAAACATTGCTGTTGAAATTTTGAAATTTCCATTAAGAAACATTCGTTTTAGCAAATTTATGTGTAAAACACAACTAATTTCTATTCATCATTTAATAAATACTTACTGTTGCACTCAAAAATCACAAATTCAGACACTTCACTTTGCGATAAACAACAAAATAAAAAAAAATTAAATACACTGACCTTTATGGCATCTTCTTCTGCTACTCTTTGTAGCAATTTGCCTCTGCTTCTTAAACGGACCTACTGAAAATAAAGAAACAGAAAATCAGTTCAATGTGTTATTAAATTAGTTGAAAATATTAACTAAAACGTGATTTTTCTAAAAAAATAAAACGTATTGTTGACTTACCCTTTAATCCGGATCCTTGTAGCACGATTGTTTTGTCTATTTTCTCTATTGGCACTCACTAATAACTCGAAATTTTAAAAATCGCGCACTACTAAATGTCTATTAGACCACTCGAAAATACACAATACACACTACACACTCACTAATACAGTCCCCATTTTTACACAATTTTGCACTGAACCACGAAATAATAAGTAGTAATTTATTCGGACAAGTGATTCGTACGGGAGTTGGGCTAAGACTGACTAGTTATTGTAATAATTTTCTCAAAAACGGCACAAAAACCATTTCGTAACAGTTCCGGTGTAAAAGACCTTTGTTCGGGATGGCGTAATGCCGTCATTTGCAACGTCACAAAGTAATTCGAAAATTACCAAATTCCATCGTCACCATTTTTTGCGCCTTTTACACTTCTTTACACAACAAAGGGATTTTAAATTGTGCGATTATACAACCCTCTAATTCGTCAGACATGACGTCAAAATGCTCGCATCTGTAGCCTAATATTTTGASATTTGAGCATTTTTCTAAGAATTTTTGAGAAGTTTTTCTACAAGTTTGGAGATTTTTTAAGTCGATATTGTTTTTGTTGGATTTCTTAACAGTCTTTTATTGCTAGAATTTTAAAAAGTTTGAAATTTTTTGACAAATTCAATAGGATTTGACCCGATTTACTTGTTTTATCCAATTTCAAACATAATTTAGAAAAAAGGTAGTGTATAGGAAACGAAATA